AAAATAATTCAAAGCCCATTAAAGTAGAATTTGAGTACAAAACTGATTTTTTGGGTACATAGTACCAATATTATTCTTACAGTATTGGTACTGCATGAACAGTATAGATACTGTTCACGTGGTACCAATACCAAAGGTAAGAGAAGTATCGATACTCTTTAGGTAGTATCGATACTACCAAGTGTTTTCCAAACAACTCAAATTCCAGAATGCAAAATAGGTATTGATACCCAAAGGAATACCGATACTACTTTACACAATAGTATCGATACCATGATCATAGTATCGATAATGGTCAAGCCCAACGGCTAGTAACATTTAGTTGATTTAAAAATTATAAAGGAAGCATCGATACTCATTAAAGTAGTATTGATACTCCCTATCCTGGGTAGTTTTATTTTGTAGAAAAATAATCCCCAACGACTCCAAATCATCCACAATCTCATTCCAATATATAAAAACAAGTTAAGGACACTTGAAGAAGGGTTAGAACACATATCCAAGCAATCAAACACAAGAGAAGAGTTTTTCATTCTTATTTTCCTTTCTCTTGTAAATTTAGTGTTTTAGTGAGCTTAATCTTGTAAACACCTACCTTTTAGAGGTTTTCTTGTTTACATTTCTTTTTCTTTTGTAAAAGGGGATTGGTTCTAGCTTAGCATGTTAAAAGCTAGAGAGTTGTAAAGGTTATATCTCTGTCTTTGAAAAAAAAGAACAAATTAGTGAATTTGTTAGAAAATCCTTTGTAAGGAGCTAAGGTAGTGGATGTAGACTTGGTTAAGAAGTCGAACCACTATAAATCTATGTGTAAATTGTTTCATCCTTTTTACTCCTTACTCCATATACTCAAAAATCCAATCCACACCCTCTTGACAAATAATTCGGTTAATCAATTGAGCTTCATCGAATATCCCAACAATTGATATCAGAGCATGACTCATTAGAAGGTCAAACAACCTTGAGACGATACTAGAAGAAGCTCTATCAATTCCTAACGCAACAAGAAGATGTCTTCGACCTCCGGGTCTTTCTACATTGAAAATTCTCAAACGGTCAAAAAGCCACCTTATTTCAATGGAGCAAATTATGCCTATTGGAAGAATAAGATGATGTTATTCATTTAAGCTAACGATCTAGGATCTTGGAACTCAATCAATAAAGGATACTTCATTCCAACCGATGAGATGGATGATTGGAGTGATGGAGAGAATAAGAAGTTCCAACTCAATGCTAAAGCTATGCACATTCTATTATGTGCATTAGGCCCGGATGAATATGGAAGAGTCTCATCTTGTTCTAATGCCAAGGAGATTTAGGACAAGCTCCAAGTCACTCATGAAAGAACCAATGAAGTAAGGGGAACCAAAATCAGTCTTTTCATCCATAGATATGAGAATTTCAAGATGAAATTGAATGAAGACATCAAAGTTATGACGAATAGATTTTCTAAGATTGTCAATGGTCTCAAAGGATTTGGAGAAGTAATCCCTAAAGAGAAGCTTATGAGGAAAATGATATACTTTCTTCTAAAGTCTTGGCAATCGAAGAAGACGACGATTATCAAAGCTAAGAACCTAAAGTCTCTCACTCTTGATGAGCTTATTGGATCTCTTCTCACTCATGAGTTGATGGTGAAGGAATTAGAAGAAGATGAAGAAAAAAACAAGAAGAATGAGGCAGGCATTGCCTTCAAATCCACCAATGAGAGCAATCAAGACTCAAGTAAAGAGGTGGATGAAGATGATGATGATGATGAAGAAGAGATGGCCAAACTCTTCAAAAAATTCAAGAGATTCATGACTTCTAAGGAAATGAAGCATTAATCAAGGAAAAAGAAGGGTCCCCCGGTGTGCTTCGAATGTCAAAGAATGGGGCATGTCAAGTATGATTGTCCCCTCTTAAAGAAGAAGGGATCAAATAAGAAGAAGGCATTTGTGGCGGCTTGGAGTGATGAAGATGACTCCAATGATGAAGATGAAGTAGCCAACCTATGCCTCATGACCATCGAAGAAGATTCAATGGTAACTTCTAGCTCTAGTGAATCAATTTTTTATTTTTTTAATGAGTTACAAGTTGCCTATGATGAGTTGTATTTGGAATTTGAGACCATGAATTCCAAATATAAGAAATTAATTTCAAATTTTTAAAGTTGAAAATAATTTGATTTTGAAAGCTATAGTTGATTTTGAAAAACAAAATGAAACTTTGAAAAAATGATTTAGAGCTTTCAAAAATCAAAATCAATGATTTAGAAAAAGAAAATTTTGATTTGAAAGTTAGGTTTGAAAGCTTAACAAAAGAAAAATAATTAATTTCTAGAAACAACTCATTATGTTTAAAATGACAAAATACTCATATTGTCATTTTCATGGTCATATGAAACATACTTGTCCTTTAAAGAATGAAAAATTTAAAAATTAGACAAGTATGGGTTCCTAAAGGAACAAGGGGCATTGAAACTAACGTACAATGATCCAAATCAATTTGGATACCAAAATACAATTAAATGTCTCTTGTTGGTGTGTATGAGCAATGGTGATGAAAGTGAAGATACTCAAATGCTCTAGCCACACTTGAAAAGAAATGAGTAACCTCTAATCTTAATGCTATTAATTTTTGGATATTTGGTTGCTCATTTAGTTTAAGCATGCATGAGTTTTGATTTTAAATAATTTTCTCATGTGTGTTGGAAATATGTTGCGATTAACATTTTCTAACGTTTTAATGATTTATATTTGTTCATCGTAATGAATTTTGGTCAAAATTGGTTTTAATGTTTTGATTTTTACAAATTTTAATTTTTGACCTAAATTTAAATGTTTATGCATGTAATTTATTGCAAATGATATCTATCTAATAATTGATATCAATTTTTCAAATGCATAAGATTTTTGGATAGCTTTAAGCATATGCACTTAAATACAACAATTAGTATCGCATAAAGTTTATTAGACTTGGATATATTGAATTTCATGTGTTACTAACATGTTTGTTCATCTTTGTTGAAATTAAATGTCTTTTAAATGTCAAGCTTTTAAAGTCAATTTTTTGTTTGGAGTGCATTTATTAAGTGGGAGCTTTGATTTTTCAAATGATTTTTTTGGATAAAATTTATCACTTACTCTCCATTGTTATTATTGAACTTTAAAGTTGATTTTTTTTATATAACAAAAAGGGGGAGAACTATGAGTTTGAAAAATTCAATTTCAAGAATGAAAAAGTAGGAGCTTTAACATTTTCCAAAATATGTCTTTTTTCATTAAATGTTTTATTAAGTGGGAGTTTTACTAAAAACAAATTTTCAAATATTTTGTTATATCAAAGAGGGGAGATTGTTGAACCATGTTTTATAATGTTTGATATAACAAACTAAGGTAAAATGTTTTTGGACTTGAATTGAATTTGTTCAAAGTTTTTCAAAAGTTTTCAAAAATAATTCAAAGTCCATTAAAATAGAATTTGATCACAAAACTGATTTCCTAGGTATATAGTACTGATATTGTTCTTACAGTATTGATATTGCATGAACAGTGCCGATAATGTTCACGTGGTACCGATACCAAAGGTAAGAGAAGTATCGATACTCTCTAGGTAGTATCGATACTGCCAGGTGTTTTCCAAACAACTCAAATTCCAGAATGTAAAATAGGTATCGATACCTAAAGGGGTACCGATACTACTTTACACAGTAGTATCGATACCATGATCATAGTATCGATACTAGTCAAGCCCAACGGATAGTAACGACTAGTTGATTTAAAAGTTATAAAGGAAGTACCGATACTCATTAAAGGAGTATCGATACTCCATGTCATGGGTAGTTTTATTTTACAGAAAAATAATCCCCAACGGCTAGAAACGACCACAAGCTCATTCCAACATATAAAAACAAGTTGAGGACACTTGAAGAAGGGTTAGAACACCTATCCAAGCAATCAAACACAAGAGAAGAGTTTTTCATTCTTATTTTCCTTTCTCTTGTAAATATTAGTGTTTTAGTGAGCTTAATCTTGTAAACACCTACGTTTTAGAGGTTTTCTTTTTTTACAATTCTTTTTCTTTTGTAAAAGGGGATTGGTTCTAGCTTAGTCTGTTAAAAGCTAGGGAGTTGTAAATGTTATCTCTTTGTCCTTGAAAAATAAAGAACAAATTAGTGAATTTGTTAGAAAGTCCTTAGTGAGGAGCTAAGGTAGTGGATGTAGACTTGGTTGTCGATGTAGACCTCGTTAAGAAGTCGAACCACTATAAATCTTTGTGCAAATCATTTCATCCTTTTTACTCCTCACTCCCTATACTCAAAAAGTCAATTCACCCCCTCTTGGCAAATCATTTAGTTGATCAATTGAGCTTCATCGAATATCCCAACACTTCGTCTCTATTAATCCGGACCAACACGTGTCGCACACCTAGCTTTGGTGGGTTAGTCTCCCAACAAAGATTTTCTACTTACACAAGGACTCGAACTCGAGACCTTGCTTAGGCGATATCAAGCTGCTTACCACTTAAACCAACCCTTGTTGGTTTAAAATCGCTTGTATTTCAAGTTGGGTAAAATCCTCCTAAACCTGAATCAATTTAGATATGAATAAAAACCCTAATTTTTGTATTAAATTTGGATAGTAAAAAATTCAACCTAACCCGACGTGAATCATGATCATACCTATATACATCAAATATAAACTCAATATATATATGATACTCATAATTTTAAAGGGGGGCCATTGGCCAAGTCCAACCGAAATTAGCAGTCCCGCTATTTGAAAAATTTTAGTTACAACCTTAATCATACTTGTCCTATCCTTAATCATGCTTTAAAATCCACGCGCCGAGGGAGGCACCTGAGTACACCGCCATTTAGGCCCCTTTTTCTCAGGTTCGGACATAGCTTTGGAGTAATAGCAGCTGTGGGCAAAAACAAAAGTTTGTAAAGAAGCTGAGAGTTTAAAGCAGAGTTAGCTTTCTTTTCTATGGAGAGATAGCAAAGAAGAAGAAAAAAACCCTTAAATTTCCTACTTTTACATAACAAATATCACAGGAAAAATAAAACCCACAAAGCTTTATTTGTTTGTTTGTTTGTTTTTCCTTCTTCTTTTTTCATTTGGGAGAGTTTTTGAATTTGGGTTTATTTTTTTGGATGGTGGAGTTGTGAGGTTGTTTTTTTCATATTGTTTTTGAAATACTTTTTTTTGCGGGGGGGGGGGTTGAGGAAATGGCTGCAGAAGGAATGTTGTCATTTTCAGTTGCTTCAGTTGTGGAGGATGTACTGCAACAACATGGCAATCGCTCCAAAGATCTTGATTTGGAATCTAGAAAAGCTGAGGAAGCTGGTACTTTAATTTTGGTTTTTTAGATTTTTTTTGAATGATGATGATCTTTTCTGCTGGAAGCATGTACTTCTTTTGATTCTGTAGTTTTAACTAATCAAAATGATGTAATTTCATGGAAAATGTTAAAAAATTTGGTTTTTCTTCTAGTTTTCTCATCTGATCCCCCACCCTTTTCTTGAAATGGAAAAAAGAAATCCTTTTGATCGTTGATCACTTACATTTCCGGATTTTTAGATGAATTGTAGCATGTTTATGAATGAAATTTGGACAATTTACTTTTTGAAAAATTAAAGAAGAAATAAATAAGCTGGATGTGATGATCTCTTGTATGGCACAGCATCAAGGAGGTCCGAAGCGGCAGGATGGCTAAGGAAGATGGTCGGTGTCGTGGCCGCTAAAGATTTACCGGCGGAGCCATCGGAGGTAGAATTTAGGCTTGGCTTGAGGAGTGGAATAATCCTTTGCAATGTTCTCAATAAAGTTCAACCTGGAGCTGTGCCTAAGGTTTACTTGATGTTATTAATATTACTATTATATTTGATTTTTCCAATTGATTTTCCTTTTGATCATGGTTTAGCTTCATTTGGGGTGGTTGGTTTTAGGTTGTGGAAAGTCCATGTGATGCAGCTCTCATACCTGATGGAGCTGCATTGTCAGCATTTCAGTACTTTGAAAATGTAAGGAATTTCTTGGTAGCTGGTCAAGAATTGGGGCTTCCAACTTTTGAGGCATCCGATCTAGAACAAGTATGCTTTTCAATTAGTTTTGTTCTTTTTCTCATCTATTTTGCCGATTCTTTTGCTCGTGAAGAATTGTGTTTAATTGTAATTTGGTTAAAATTCTTTAGGGAGGCAAATCTGCAAGGGTGGTGAATTGTGTTCTATCACTCAAGTCCTATAACGAATGGAAGCTCTCGGGTGGAAATGGAGTGTGGAAATTTGGTGGAAACTTAAAACCTGCCACCACCACTTTGGGTAAGTCATTTGTAAGAAAAAATTCAGACCCTTTTACAAATTCCTTGCAGAGGACCTCATCGATGAATGAGAAACTACCAGCCGGTCACTCCAATGAAATCGATACTAACAAAATGGTTGGTAAGCTTTAACTGTGTAAGTATTTGCTGATTTTATATTATCAATTGAACAATGAGAATAGCTTTTCTTATTACACAAGCAGGCCGGTTCTGGTTCTGGTTCGTTAAGTATGCTGGTTCGTGCCATTCTATTAGATAAAAAGCCTGAAGAAGTTCCAGTGGTAAGTTTTTATTGGTTCTTTACACTCTTGTTTAACATATCAAACTTGTCCAGTGTTTCTTTGCTTATATAAACTGGGATAATGAAATGTTTTTATTAGAAATCATGGTTATTCAGTTCATCATTGGTTGTTTGTAGCTGGTTGAATCTGTGCTCGGTAAAGTTGTAGAGGAGTTCGAGCATCGGATTGCAAGCCAATCTGAAATGGTATGTTACTTTTCAAATTTTACAGACGAATAAAAGTCGTTAACTATGTAATTATTGATCTTTACTAACATTTTGTTTTTTTTTATGGATTCTTCTCCAAATTGAAAGATGAAAACGACTTCAAAAGACATCTCTCCTAATTTCAGAAAGCCTCTACAGAAACAAACTCTTGGGGATAAAAGGGTAAATAATAATCCTCTTCTAATTCACAAGTCACTACTCACTAGATGACTTTTCTCAGATAGCTCACATTTCTCCATTTTCATTATTGTAATGAATAAGATCGAGGAAAAGAACATCAAAGTGGTCAAGAAAGAAGACTGCTTTCAAAAGAACTTCATTGACGAGGAGGAAGAAAAAAGTCGATCACAGAAACAGCAACTGATCTTAAATCAGCAACAAAGAGATATTCAGGTGGGAGATATTGTGCCGTATCTTCTACTTTCTTGTCTGTTTTTATACTTGACTAGAGCACTTATATGTCTATGTAAATGTTGCAGGAACTGAAGCATGCTATTAATTCCACAAAGGCTGGCATGCAGTTCATACAAATGAAATTTCATGAAGAATTAAACAATCTTGGTACACTGACTTGCTTCAAAGTGTTTATTTGTATTTTTTTGCTTACTGAAGTGCTAAGCAAGGTATTTGTGCAGGTACGCATATACATGGTCTGGCTCATGCTGCTTCTGGTTACCACAGGGTTCTAGAAGAAAACCGCAAGCTATATAACCAAGTTCAAGACCTTAAAGGTACATTCACTTAACTTTTATAAGTTCTTAATATCGTGCTTGTCCTTGTAACGACTCTCTAATTTATTCAAAGGGGTTATCTACTTTATCTGACCAGGAAGTATACGCGTTTATTGCCGTGTGAGACCATTCTTGTCTGGATCAAGCTATCTTAGCTCTGTGGATCATATAGAAGAGGGAAACATCATCATCAACACACCGTCAAAGTATGGTAAAGGATGCAAGTCCTTTACCTTCAACAAAGTCTTTGGGCAGTCTGCAACTCAAGGTTGCTACACTAAGAGTTTAATTGCTTATTGATAATGTTTCTGCGATTTTAGCATTCTTTACCAAGTTGCATCTTCTTGCATTGCAGCGGAAGTTTTCTCTGATATGCAGCCACTGATTCGGTCAGTTCTTGATGGATACAATGTTTGCATATTTGCATACGGCCAGACAGGGTCAGGGAAAACCTACACTATGGTAAGACATGATTGGATTATTCACTAAAATATATATACATTTTCCTTTGAACTTACCGGTTTATTTGGTGGTTTCCACATCCAGACTGGACCTAAAGACCTGACAGAGAAAAATCAAGGGGTGAATTATAGAGCGCTAGGTGATTTGTTTCTTCTAGCAGAACAAAGAAAGGATACCTTTCGCTATGATGTTGCCGTTCAAATGATTGAAATTTACAATGAGCAAGTTAGGGATCTCCTTGTTACAGATGGAAGTAACAAAAGATATCCTTTTTCCAATTCGTTTGGTTTTACTTCCCTCGAGGTTATAAAATTAATTCATTCTTATCGGTTGGTGTCTATGAAAATTTGTCCCAACAGATCGGTAATTCAGAAAAAAGCTTTCTTACATTCTAAATAATCTAGAGCTTGATCAAAATGTAGGTTGATGCTCTGAAAAAAAGGAAGACCAAAAATTTAAAATTGGTTTTAATATGAAAATGGATGTTGATTGTTGAGTCTCACTTTAATGTAGGTTGAATGGTAGGTTTTGCCGTTCAGTTTTATATCTAGGGTTTTCCTTAATCTATTAATACATTAGAGATACGGAACAGTTCCCAGAATGGTCTCAATGTACCATATGCAAACCTCATGGCTGTTTCATCAACATCCGATGTTATTGATCTGATGAACCTAGGACACAGGAATCGCGCAGTTGGAGCAACAGCCCTGAATGACCGTAGCAGCCGTTCTCATAGGTAACTTCTTATTTCTTTACACCACTTGATCCTGAAATATCTCTTCATTCTGAAGCTGATTTTTTTAATCACTTTGCAGTTGCTTGACTGTCCATGTTCAAGGAAGAGATTTAACATCTGGCACCATTCTCCGCGGCTGTATGCATCTCGTGGATCTTGCAGGAAGTGAGAGAGTAGACAAATCTGAGGTGACAGGAGATCGACTAAAAGAGGCACAGCACATAAACAAATCTCTATCAGCTTTAGGAGATGTGATTGCTTCTCTTGCCCAAAAGAATCCACATGTTCCTTATCGAAACAGCAAGCTCACTCAACTTCTTCAAGATTCACTTGGCAAGTTTAAATCGTCAAGAAGTTTTCTGTTTCAGCTATATTTAGGAGCTAAATTGTTGCATTGATTTTTTTTTTCCAAGAAGTTTTGATTATATTGGGCTGGAATTGTATTTTCAGGAGGGCAAGCCAAGACACTAATGTTCGTTCACATAAGTCCTGAACCTGATGCCATAGGTGAAACTATAAGTACTCTCAAATTTGCAGAGCGTGTAGCAACTGTTGAACTTGGTGCTGCTCGAGTGAGTAAAGACACTTCAGATGTTAAAGAACTCAAAGAACAGGTTATCATATTCGCCTTTACCTACTGGTTGATATGGTTATCTTAAGATAGTTGGCAAATCCAATACTCTGCCCTTTAGTAACTTCTGTTGGAATATCTTCCAGATTGCTAGCCTTAAGGCAGCTTTGGCTAGGAAAGAGGTAGAGACGGACCAAAGTCAGCATTCTGTATCTGGCAGCTCCAAAAAATACCGAGCAAAGACTAGCGATTTTTCACCCTTTAATCCCAATCAGCGAGTTGGAGATGTCTTGGTGGCCAGAGAACCCGTGGGTAGCATGGGAAACATTGAGGTACATAATGCTTTACACATTATATCAGGATGGATATTCAAATGTGTCTGTTGAATTCAGAATTTCATAGTAATATGCAGTCTAGAAACTGAAAGTGGCAATAGTGGCATAATACTAACTCAAATGTGCAATCTGCTTGATTTCTTCTCTCTATAAATCTGTATTGGAATTTCTTGTCAAATTTTACAACTAATTTCAGCATTTCAACATGTCTTTTGCGTACGTTCGAGATGCTCTGGAAAGCTTGACTGTTCTTATCGTCGTTATGCATTCTCCGCAAACATACAAACAACTTATTTTTTTCTGCAGACCAAGTGGTTAAAACTTTGATTACTTATTCTGCTTTTGCAGGTGTTCAGTAACTCCACATTGAGGCAAAAGAGGCAAAGCTTTGATCTTGATGAGCTATTAGCAAATTCATCTCCCTGGCCTCCCGTTGCGAGTCCTGCCCAAAACTTTAGGGACGATGAGAAAGAATTGGGCTCGAGTGAGTGGGTGGATAAGATTATGGTGAACAAGCAAGATGCCATTAACAGAGTAGCAAACCCCCTAGGATGCTGGGAAGCAGAAAATGGGAACTTGTCTGATATCTTTTACCAGAAATATCCCCACGATTCTTCAAAGGTTTACACAGAACAATCGTATAATATGTTCACGGGGGCCAATGGGTTCAACATGGCTGGTTCCGATGACATAGATGATATTGATGCTGCAACCAGTGACTCATCCGAGCCTGATTTGCTTTGGCAATTCAATCAAACTAAACTTAGCAACATAACCAATGGGATCAATAAACCTACTTCAAGATCAGCAAGAAACCCTGAAATGAGGTAATCCAATACATACACTCCCACATCGAATATCTTCCACCATCATTTTAAGTTTTCAACATGTTACTAAAATGTTCGTTACCTTGCAGCAAAAGTCTACATCCTATGGCAGGGCCATCACCATCAAGGAAACTAGCAAATGGAGTCGGCCAACCTTTGCATCGAAACATGAGGCAGCCAGCCATTGTCGACGGGAAACGCAAAGCCGGGAGTAGAAAATAACAAGTTTATACACCATTATACCCACGTCAGAGTGATTTATGATTTTTTTTCCTCTTATATTTGTTGTTAGAGGGAGAGAGAGAGATATGTGTGTTCAATATACAGATAATTTTTCTTTCATTGTAATTTTTGTGGCATAGTTAAATGCAGCAATAATTCAAGTTGCGTATTTGTTTATTGAAGACAAATTGTGTAAATAATGCATACTGCCTTGTTTGGTTTTGTGACTTGTGCGTGTAAAGACTGTGCTTTTCCCCTGTTCTTCAATATTGAGATATTACAATTTGCAGAAACTGACATGAACACATTCGATAAGATGAGTCAACGTTGTAAAATGAAGATTAAGGGTGTACATGATTCAAGCTTGAAGGAATGAAGTTGTCTTCGAGTTTGTTTGTTTGATTTTTAAGGTATTTATGTTCGTTTGTTTTTAAGGTATTTATGTTCGTTTAAATTTTCAGTATTGTGTTTGTGTTCGTTTAAATTTTTAATATCGTGTTTATTTATTTATTTTTGAAGATGTTAGTATTCGTTCGTCTAGTGTTCGTAAACATGTTCGTTTAACTTTTGGTTAATATTCAGCGGCCAACACTCTATTTCTATCTTTTTATTTGCAAGCCAAAGAAAATTAATAAAATTATGCCACTAGTCCTTAATTTTCTTAAGTTTCACAATTTGAACTTCAAAGTTCACTTTATGTTCAATTTAGTCTTTACCCTCACCAATATTTAAAATATAAGAAAATAAAAGAAAGAGGAGAACCGAGTAAATGAGCTTACAAATGAGTCAATAAGCAAACTTATAAATGAGTCAATAAACGGGTTTATAAACGAACAAATAAATGAACTTATTCGTAAACATAAAAGAACAAAATAGACTTTGTTCGTGTTCATTCATTTATTAAATGAACATAAAAAATTTGTTTATACTCATTAAATTAATTTAATAAATGATTATTATTCAAATATTTATGAAAAAAATATTAAACGTTATGTTCAGTTAAACTTAGGGATGGGCATAGGACCTGAATTTAATTCGGGTTTAGGGTAAAAAATACCCGACCCGACCCAACCTAAAAAAATTTAATTTTACCTTATATATTTAGGAATAATTATAATAATACCCATATATATATTATTTTTTCAATTAAATCATTATTTTTATTAAAAAAAATAATTTTTATTATTTCGAGTCAGATCGGATTGAATTCGGGTTTTATCTCATAAAATCAGGTCGGATTCGGATAAGATGGATGATATATATTTTTCGGGCCGGATCGATTTAACCGAAACCCGACCCATGTCCATCCCTAGTTAAACTCCTAATAAAGATTGAAATCTTAAAGTTAGAAGGACTTTTGTATTGTAAATTGGGATGTTAAGGTCATAATCGATTGCCGTGAAGGATAACAGCCATTGTCAAAGGGAATGATGATGAAAAATCTCCATTAAACAAAGTCGCCATAGCCCACCTTTGACCCATACGGAAGCCCAAGACGAAGATAGCAAGCTTACCCATAGAGCAGTTCTTTCTTTATTGCTTGATTTGATTTGTTTTCCTTCCAAAAACCCAGAAACATTCCCCACAACTCCGGCGACAAGTCACCCTCCATCCCCGATTTCATTGACCCGTTCCCTGTATCTGTCATTCTCCACTACCCATACTCCCAAACTCTTGATCTCGGGTATTGTTTTTCTTTTCTTTTACGTTCAATTGCTTTGTTGGGTTTTTATTATTTCTCTGGATAAAGTTTTTTTTTCCCTTTTGAAGTACGAAATGGCGATGTACATGGTATCTCGGCGACTGTCAGCTGGATCTACCACTTCTCAGCTAGCCACCTCTCTCCGTTACACCACCTGCTGGAGTTACTACTCCACGTCGTTTCGGGAGGAACGAGACACTTTCGGCCCCATTAATGTCCCCTCTTATAAGTTCGTCTTCGTCTCTCCCTCTCATCACTGTTTTCTTTTTCTTTTTTTCATTCGCACCACTAGTAGAACTTTTTAGATAAAAGAGGGTAGTAGTTATACTTGTGGTTTATGTTGCCATGGTTTATATAGATTGTGGGGAGCGCAGACTCAGAGATCTTTGCAGAATTTTGATATAGGGGGTGAGCGTGAACGAATGCCCGAACCTATTATTCGTGCCTTTGGTGTTCTCAAGAAATGTGCCGCCAAGGTTCTTGTCTAATCTGATAAATGAATCCTAATATTTGTCAATGTTGAAGTGTTTTGCATATATTGTAATAGTTTTGTTTATTTAGGTTAACATGGAGTATGGTCTTGATCCAACCATTGGGAAAGCTATAATGCAAGCAGCTGATGAAGTAGCCGAAGGGAAACTCAACGATCACTTCCCACTTGTTGTTTGGCAAACTGGTAGTGGCACCCAGAGTAACATGAACGCCAATGAGGTCGTTGCAGCTTTGATTTTTGATTGACTTCATGAATGAAATGATGATTCTTTCTCATCCGAGAAAAGCATTTATAGTAAATTTTATAGCTTATTTTGTGACTTTTGGAAATTTTCAGGTTATTGCTAATAGAGCAGCTGAGATCCTTGGGCATAAGCGTGGTGAAAAGTATGTGCACCCAAATGATCATGTGAACCGATCTCAATCTTCTAACGACACATTCCCGACTGTAAGCCAGAATTACCCATATACCTTATTGGTTTCTTCCTTCTTTAGATTAATGTTTACAGCTTCTGATGGTTTAGACAAGTATGGATGTGATCCTGTTCCTCCATTATTGTCAATGCCAAATTCAGCTTCTGTAGCATCTCCTAGTTTTCATGTGTCTGGTAAAAATGAGTGTTGCAATGGAAAATCTGCAGTAGATGGTGTCCTCGAGGGAACCAAGGAGTCCATCACAAAGGGCTTCAGTAATGACAAGTCTGGATGCTACATGTTATTTGTTGAAAATTTACCAGAAAAGATCCATTGGAAGAGGTTTGGATCTTTATTTTGCTCCCACGATCGGGTACTTGATGCTTTTATTCCAAATAAAAGAAATTCAAAAGGAGTTCGCTTTGGTTTCATTCGCTTCGCTTCTATCAAAGAAGCAAGGAGAGTGACCTCAAAAATGAATGGCTCTTACATCGACGGTAGCAAAATTGGTGTTTTTTTGGTTAAATTCAAACCTCGTCATTCCTATTGGAGAAAGTCTTCGACAGGGGTTCTCCGCAAGTCCGAGATAGAAGATGATTCGAGTAAGAATCATTATAAAGTTGAAGGCGTTATAGATGAAGAAAAACTTCAGGTGTTGAGCAATTGTCTAGTGGGGTGGTACAAAGACTTTATCAAAATCGGTCATCTCGCTAGACAAATGCATGCGAAGGGCCTCACTGGCTTCTCATTAATGAGAGCTGCTGGAAATGCGGTATTAATGATTTTCGAAGACTCTGCTTCATTGAGAAGTGTGAAGAACGATAAATCAGAGACTCTCGCAGAGTGGTTCTCCATAGTAGAAGCTTGGTCAGAGAGTTTGGTTTTGGAGTGTCGCCGAGTATGGTTAATCTGCGAGGGTGTTCCGTTTCACGCATGGAATTGAGATACTTTCAAGAACATTGCTGATAGTTGGGGTCAGTTGCTAGCAATCGATGAAAGCTGTCAATCACCATTATCCTTTGATCGGGAAAAAATTCAAGTCCTCGCAAAGGCTGGAGCGAGAATTGATGCGACGTTGGAATTGAAGGTTGGTGACAACTCCTTCAAGATCATGGTGCATGAGATAGAGTCTTCATTCAAGCCAAACTCTTGGGCTCCTGAAGAAGACGAATCCCAATAGATCTCGTCTCTCTAATTGTGGCTTGATTTAGTTTATATGGTTGTAGGTGTTGCTTCTCTTTTTATTATGTTCTCTTGCGCTGTTTTAATCCTATTGATGGAGGTGTAATTAGAAATAGGTGATTCAACTGTGATTTTGGAAGAGGTTATATGAGGTTAAGGTGTTTTGTTGTAATGGTGTATATCACCATAGGAGGATAATCCGGTGTTATCTTTTGTATTGGGTATTATTATTAATAAACTTTGAGGTACTCTTTTCTTCCTTCCAGTGTTCGTTAATATACTTCTTAGTATGTGAACGAATACGAAGGGAGTTTTTAATGAGACCTCCAACTTCTATAAAAAAAAAAGAATTCACTTACACCAACTTATTCGTCCTTGGCTTACCATGGTAAGTTTTGAGCTGCCTCTTTACTTATTCTACATTTTTTTCTTTCTCCAGGTAATGCACATTGCAGCTGCTACAGAAATAAACTCAAGATTAATACCCAAATTGAAAGTTTTGCATTCTGCTCTACATTCACAGGTCTGTTGACTTTGGCCTCTAGTTTATGGTTTGTGAAATCTCTCTCATTCTCACTTTTCTTTTCTTTTATTCTTAAATGGAGATCTATACCTTACATGCCATTGTTTCCCCTATGTCCTTATTCACATTAATTAAGACATCAGCATCTACTGCCAGAAAGGGGATTTTCCTGGCCTTACCCGATTGTTGATGCTGATATTTTCTTATTTGAGTTCTACCTTTTTGACTGTTTGATTAGTTATTTTAACATGTCTCTTGCCAATGCTATTGTCTTTTATTCTGTAATATTATGGTCTCTTAAGATGATCTATTCTTTATCTACTTTGCTTTGGAATCTACATATATGCTACTGGGCCCATTAAACCTTAACACTGTCATTTTGTTTTACGTTTTCTCATATACCAGTGAACTTTCATCTTGGTTGAGTTCAAACTTCCTAGTTAAATTTTTCTTGTGTTGTTTTCACTAGTCTGTTGAATTCAAAGATATCGTCAAAATTGGTCGCACTCACACTCAAGATGCCACACCTTTGACTCTTGGTCAAGAGTTTAGTGGCTACACTACACAAGTAAGCTCATTCTGCAGTTTCTTTTATGTTCTTTGGGATCAATTATGCTTAGCGAGGGGACCACAATGAGGGACAACTAATTATTATTATATGGTTTTTTATTGTTATAGGTCAAGTATGGAATTGATCGAGTTTTGTGCACCCTTCCACGCATGTATCATGGATGCAATCCCGTTTTTTTCCTTCTCACCTATTCTGACTACTGACATATACGGTGCTATTTGACAGCTTGCACAAGGTGGTACTGCTGTGGGGACAGGACTGAATACAAAGAAAGGGTATGTTTGTTATCCTTGAAGCATGCTTCTCTGATTTTGTAATTTTGTCTATTCCCCTTTCTCAATTT